AGGACAATAAATATCTGACCGGCAGGCGACTGCCCGGCTAAGGTCAAAAGTGCAGTAGCTTGCAATTTCTGCCCGATTTCCTGCCGATATTCGCTGGCAATAACTCAACCTTCACATCTGTAATATGTAATCGCTCTCCTACCGTGGTCTAAGCCTCGCATTAAAGTGTCACGCTGATCCAACCCGTTTCTACCCTCTGTGTCGAAGTACGCAATACTCTGTGCAACAATTCGATAGTTTGCTGGCAAGATTTGTCGCTTCCTAACATAGCTTGCTATGTAGGCTGCAAAAGGCAAAACGAATCTCACACTTGACCAACCAGAAAATTCCTCGATTTTGTTTACGCGATGGTATGAAAACGATAAAGAATTCTGACTTTTCTTACGTCACCTCCATTTGTGGATGTAGGAATGTTTCTTTAGCAGATATAATAGCATCAGAATTATTAGAAATTGCTCTGTTATATGAGAATTAAAATAAGAATACCAAAAATAGAATAATTATAAATTATTAGAATTTTGTTGTTAATTACAATTTAATATTATCACTAATGATGTTAATGTTTATTTATTTTGTGCCAATCTTCGCTAATATTTGTTATTATATTACATGATTTGTTTTTATCGAATTTTTTTTCATATCTATTGTTTTATTAGAGGAAGGTCATAATACTGACATAGATCTCCTAAAGCGACATCCCCTTATTTCTTAGAAATAAGGGATCTAATCTTCGCACCTTATTAATACTAATAAAAACGTGATCTGTTTAGCTAATTAAAGAAGTACAAACTCATAATTTTCATATATAATATTTGTGGCTTATTTCTATATCAAATCAACTAAAAACAAATTCTATGAATCCGAGAAGAAAATTCTTACCGTGCTTTTTTGCAAATTGCGTAATTAAAATAATAGTGACTGTATTATTGATAATATTATGCCATTTTAAATGTTTATAATATAAATTAAATTTTCTTTACAGAATAGGATATATCTTTATTTATAGAATAGGAATGTTGGCATTATTGCCTACTATGTCAATTTTGGAGCCCATTTTGTTAGATGCTCATTTTTACATATCTTACGAAAAACTTAATTATTGCAAAATTTCAAACAGTATTATAAAAACTGCTTATACTATCTGATAGAAGACACTTTTTATAGTTTGTATTTATGTTTTTGAAGTTGTATTTTTACCTTTTGTTTAAGAAATATTGTCTAAATCAAAGTGGTATGTCGGTATCGATGACCTTTCTTTATTGTTTAAGTCAAAGATATATTTTGTCTATTTTTAAAAATTTTATTATTTAATAAAAAGTTCTTTAATTTGAATTGTCATACATTAATTCTAATTTGTAATGTTATGTTAAATCAGAACTTCGAATAGGAATTTTTATAGAACTTGAAAAAATTCTTTATAGAAACATTTTATTTCTTTGCATCTACTTTTATTATTTGTTTATCAGTCATTTTAATAAAAATCAATTAAAAATATAACTTTTAGAGATCAAACGACGAAATATACAAAATAATACAAACATGATTGCTGAATGGCATATGAAGTATCGATAATCGTCATTTCATGCGACAGTTGGAATACTAGGTCAACCTCGTTTTGCAAGCGGGTTATTCAAAACGGAAGTTTAGATATACGCCTAAAGTAATACGAAAGTGGCGTATCGGACGGAAACTTCACCCTTTATAATATATAAATATGGCAAAGAGGCGGAGTTCAGCATAAGGCGCGTGTGCATTAACTGTTCAAAACTACGACATGTAAACTTGCTTTCCTCCTCTATAAACCATAAAACAACGGGCTCTGGACCGGCAGACGACCTCGCAACCCGCTAACTATTAAAAGTTGCAAATTGCTGCAGACACACTGCGGGCCCCATGTTCGCGTACCGGCCGTCTTGGGCACTTCCGCGCGTTCGTCCTATTCTAACTTACTTACTAGACTTACTCACTTTCTTACTTATATAGTCACTCGTTTACTTACTTATTCCCTGCTTCGTATTCGTTATTCTTCGCACTTTTCCGCGCTACGCTTTTCCCTGTTAACATCACTTGTTCTTGTCACACATATATGTACCTTCACGTATACACTTAAACTTTTTTTTAAACAACTAGTCTAGCAGAAATCTCGAGGAATGATTAGTGTTGAAAGTATCGAAATAACAGAGCATCTCACACAAATATTATTTTTTATTATATTTATTAGAATTTAGTTGTTGTGCAATCACTATTATCTTCTGCCATTCAAGCCACAACGAACGAACCTATCAGCCGGTTAGAGATAATTTATATTTGAGGTTGTTATACATAATAGACAATAACGCAGATTATTTAACTTCTGTACACACCGGTGTTCAGTATACTATCCGGCAAACTATTTGCTACGGTTAGTTTACCGTTTAGTTGCGGCGTCCCAATGTCGCTTCCAAATATATTTTGTAAAATAGTTTACGATGCGCGGCTGGCTGATAATCGTACAAAGCACTGCGTGGGCGTAAATGCTTTATCAAGCGGGACGAAATATTTTGCCTCTGTTCGAACATTTCGCCATAATTCGGTTCAATTATCATTCGATTATATCGATTTTAGAGGTGTGCATTTAGCATCAACGTACAAATGCGGGCTCGTGAAATTACGAAAAATATGTCCAAGCGGAGACGCAAATCCTACGAACAGTTAAACCAAAGCTTACCAAAATTGACTATATACTAATTCACATCAAATTCTTTAGCGTATGTGTTGTAAAATGCGTGCGGAAATCTTTAATAAAGAATTTTTCTTCCTGTTTCACTTTATAACAGAATTTATAATAGAATTTCTTCGCTTTACTGCATACTGATAGCTACAAATTGTTAATTACGTCCGACTGCATCGTGTCAGCTTCATAATGAAATGTTAAAGCCGCTTTTAAAAATTACTGGCAGAAACTCAATAAATTTATCATACCATTAATCAACATATATGCGTTTTCATGTTAAAATACATATTTGATGCGATATATTTCGTGCACTGTAATTTTACGCAGGCAATTTTATTGTTATCTCAGTAAAAAGAGAAAAAATACTGGTTGAAAAACTCTGGCACGTCGAGTTTTGCTGAATATAATTGGACTTGAATAACAAAAGCGCGTAAAAAGAAAAGTTATCATTCGGTTGTATGGTCTTTATTAAAATCGTCTTTCTAATTGCTGCGTCTTTATCTAAAACGCTTTTTTATCTCAGCCTATACACCAGTTTCATAAACCTTCATAATCCAAGAGAGTTAAATACCGTACCTTCCAGAGACTGCACGAACGACGCCGAGGGTCGACTATGCCGACGGCCAAGAAAATGAAAAGTAACGATTCAATATCAACGCCACGCGGGTTGCGTGTAGCGAATTAACACGTACTGATACGGCTGGTGTGTCGTCCACGTTGGTGACACCATTCTTCCATTAACCCTGTCTACATTTTCTGCGTATCGTGCGCGTGGCTTTTATTATCCGCGCACTTCGGCCGTAACATTTTACTATTTCCTGCTTATATCATGCTCGTGAAATCTATCACACATTAATTGGTAATAGGATTACGTAGAGAAATGAAATGACGTAACTGAAGGACGCATCGTAAAAATTCATTTTAGTTTTAATTAAAAATATATTTAAATAAAATGTGAAACGTACGTAGTTAATGTTGTTAAGAAACAATTTTTTACCGAATAAAAATGATATTATATTTTGAGAAAAATTCATATTGATATTAAAATTTATTAAAATGGTGAGGTAATATGTCGATGAATTTAACACATGTTTTTATATTGAATTTTCCCAGAGGGCTTATTAATTGCCAATAATACTTTATAAGGGATACATGTATTGCACACCGCACTGTCTGAAAGACTAATATGTTGTCGATAAAATCGATGGATTTCTATCATTCATAGCACATTTTCTGTTAAAGTACCTTCTGACAAAAGATAATATCAACTCATTGATGAGCGGTATACGCGTAATAATTTAGTTTACTATTCTGAATTAATTTGTCTCTTTGTAAACGCGTTTCGTTATAAAATTCAATACAGCAAAACTTATTCGCTCTGTTCGCTCGTGGTCTCGTCGCTTTTACGTACCTTCATTTTTTCTGGGCCGCGATCGATTCCGCTGAAATGACTTTTACTATCTATCGAATATCTGCGACGCTACGAGCGGGTACACCGTGATGCATAAAGAATCCAGTTTACGGCGTCTGTTAGGACTCGACGATACCCGACACGTCCCATTTCCGCCGCCCGACGTCTTCTCCAAAGTGAAACCACTTCCTCGCTGCCGGAATCTGCAGATCCGATTTAGAAGTAATGTGATCGATTCTCCTAAGTTTGTCTAAGAAATTTCGGTAGCTCTAAAAGTCAGTAGCAATGCAGAATGTAAATCTATAAAAACAGTTTACGAGTGAAGAAATGACTAGCTTTATATTACAGTTTAAATGAATTCTATTTAATACAATTTAATATCGTACTCATTATTTATTAGTCTAACTGTTCTAAAACAAAATATTTTCTTCTTATTAGATTAAAAATTTAATTAGTTGAGATAGAAATAATATTCACACGTTTCTATTTATTACAAATATTACATATATATCTACTCCTTTTGTACATTCCAAGTGTTTTGTCTACAATTGTTCAACTGGATTAAAACTTATTCCAGCAGATCAAAGTATATTATATAGTATAATAAAACCTACTAAATATTGATATTAAAGTTTGATTTTTATAAAAATTTTATCTTTATTTTATAAATTTAAAAATTTACTGTATGCGATGTAGTCTTTCTTTCTCTCCTCCCTCTCTCTTTCTCTTTTTCTCTTTCAAAGATCATTTGACACGTTAAATTTACTTATGTAGGTAGTATAACTTATCAATATTTCTTAAACTTCCTGACAAAACTATATCCTTTTGCATTATCACGTAGCATTAAACACATACTTTGTTTTTTTAATGTTTCAGGAAATGAAAGTTAATTGGGCGACGTCGCCGGGTAACCAACCAAAACAGGACACGAGCAGTGAGTATGCCCAGTTTTCAGATTTTCGCCTTTATACGAAAAATATTTTTAGCACCGTGCGTTTTGCCTTTGATCTCATACTTGCTCGACTTGTTGGACTCGCATACTAATTGGTCCGAGCAGAGAATTACTCTAAAAGAGAATTTTTAAAACTGTCTCATTGCAAAGTAAAATGCATTTTTGGATAAAGTATACAAAAATATTGCGCATAAATGTTTGTAAAATTTTATTAAACAATACAATAATATAATTAAGTAAAGCAGAAAGAAGTCGAACAATTTGATCCGACATTTTCATATTAATCTAATTCTATAATATATAATGAAATCTTGCAACATTAATATCTAATTTTAGATATAACATTTTAGATTTGATAAAATTTGTACTAAAAATTTATTATTACTTAATTGTAATTGAAGAGAATACTGTAGATCATTTATCATTTCCATATTGATACTACATACCTTTATGAATTGTGCTTCTCCATATACATTATTTATTAGAATACACAACAAATAGGAAAAAAGCCTTAAACAGTCAAGCTGAATTTTTAGTGCTTAAATAATTCGGTTCAATTTATATACTCACATTCAATCCTGCAAACTGCGCGCCGAATTTAATATTAAAATATACGTCAATATGAAATATGTATGGTTACATTTATATATGTTGTTACAATTAATTTAATATTCTTATAAGTGCTTATAGCACACATACATAATTTTTTAATTCAATTATTTCTTAACGCGCTACAACTAAAAATATATCGCTAAATTTTTCATTATGAAGTATATCATAGAAACAGGGAGTTTAAGAATATACAAATGAATTGTAATCTATTTACAATAGTCAGATTACATTTTCAAAAATATAAAAAAGCTTATTTTGTTTTATTAGTCTAATTGTCATTTACTGTTCAAGTATTGATGTATATACTATTTTATAAAAAGAATTTTATACACAAATTTTATATATAGATTATTCTATATATTTCTGCATAAACCATCATATTTTCTCTTTTAACAATTATTTCACAAAGCCCATTATCGTAAAATAAAGATTAAATTAATTTACCGGCTGAAATACAATAATTCAATACCAGTGACATTAAATTAATATTCTGTTATAAAAAAATGTTTATTAATCGTTAATAATATCCTTTTACTTTGATTCCACGCAACTATAATTACTCGCATGTTTAATTAAATAAAATATTAATCAAATGTTTAATGTCGACTAATGTTTGACACTCTTATTACCAGTATATAGTATATATTGGCGATGAGAATTTCTATGTAGAAATTTTAATGTACACAATTTCGTAGAACAAATTCACATTACATGTGAATACAAATGGTTTCATTAAAAATATGGTACTTTTTTTAATATTCATGTGTGTAATGACATAGTATTTTTATATAAAGTAATAAATCTTTTGTAACATATTAATAATGCCATATACATAACGTTTGAGTAGTTAATAAAAATATGATGTTGAAAAATATTTAATATGCACTTATATTTACGCATAGAAGTCAATTCTGGGAATCGTCACAATCCGACAGGTTATTATAATTTCTGCATTCGATTTAGTATATTAAAAATAAATCTCGCAGCAGTGTATAATTTTCAACGACTATGTCCCAGTTTCCTTATCATTAAAAAGAGAAATTGTTGGAATATTACCTCTAAAAACGCACAGCGAACACATAAAATAATCAATGGTTGAAATTATTTATCCATCGTGATAATGCATATTTGCAATTTTATTTCTGGATTGTGAATAAAATTGGAAAAAAAAATGCTTTGACGTACATCTATTTATTTTAACGTGAAATAAATTTAAAATATATAATATTATCTTCCGTAAAAAATCTTATTAGTACAATTACGACACATTTTCTTATAAGTTTCATCGCAATTTTTAAATGCGCAGTTATAATTTCGTCGTAATCATATATAATTTATTATTTCAACGTTTGTGTACGTAGATAAAGCATAGGATATTCAGTGAAATGGGACTTGGTGTAACACAGTTCCATGTATTTCTAGAATAACTTCTACGCGTAAGGCTGTCCAGTACAGCGGTAGTTCGGGATTAAGCGTACGTCCCTTGTGATAATCTCTTTTGCTTCCTGTGTCTGGGATCCCTAGAGAATCAGCCATAAACCATGAAACCCGTCATAACTACTTTCTTCCCACGATCTCTGTATGCTCGTGCGCGTTGGAAGGTTGATATAAATGCAGATTATGCAATGCAAACTGGACGAATTAGGAAAGATTTTTAATTTTTTTTTACAAACACATATACTGTCGCTCACGTTTATAGGATGACGAATATTATAGGATGGCATGTTTATTTATATGCATAACACGAACTTATTTGAGAGAATTCATTGTCAGTTACAATAATGCGTGAACGATACGAATGATGAATGAAATTCACTAGGTACATTTCCAAATCCCTCGGCATCGACTTTTGCGCATGGTCCGAGCGACCTGAAATAATTTAACAGGCACGCACATGACGGCCAAATAAATATCATAGGAAGATTCCTCCCTCCGTTTCGTGCTCGTTACAAGTGTGAAAAGGTGCGCGGTCACATCTCTGTGGATGCGCCCTATTATATATGTACCGGCGGCGGTCGTACGCGTGTGCGTGCTTGAAATTCAGTGAGGGCGGCAGCAATATTTAACTCAGTCTGAAATTCCTCTTTTTATGGACTTGTAAAACCGTGACAGGCACATGGGACCCGATCCTGCTTCACCTCCCTCCCGTTCTTCGTCCCTGTCGTTTTGCCCGCCACCCCTTGTTGCTACCTACATCCCCCTCGCTCTCAAGCGCGCTGACGCGGTTAGATAGCAGTCTCGTATCTCTCTTGTCGTCCTCTTTTCCATCGCCGGTCGACGGTCCGCTACTGCGTATACCTACCTACCTACCTACCTACGATCACACCTTCTCCACTTCCCTTTTTCCTTCGGCGTCGCTATCCACCCACGTGTACCTACCTATCTACCAGAGCACTCTCTTCTCTCTCTCGAAACACTATTTCTCCTCGGCGACAAATGCAAAACTAAAATGTATTCTTCTCTATTCTCTCTGTAAATATGCCGGTATAGCTGCCAGTATGGCCAGAGTTTTCCCTCCGCTTTTGTTTCCTACCGCCTCTTCCTCTCCATCGCCGCGTCCGTCGTCTACCTTCGCCATCCTCTTCACGATCATATGTATACAGCATTCGGCGAATGGATACAGGGGGTGTCATGCGGCTGCAACTGGAACGACGGGTTGTTTTACTTTTCCGCTAAAGATTGCTAGTAAACTCTACCGTCGATGCACCTGCGCACATCTTGCGGCTATGACTTTTACGCGCTTGCATGTAAAAATATGTTAGTCCAAAAAGCTGATAAAATAGAAAAACATTAACAAGCATCTGTATCAAGCATCTTTTCTCTTCATTTCTGATTAGTAAATTATTGTTATTTAATTTTTACTTTCTCTAAAGGAAATGCAATTAGAAAACATCATTATGATTAAAAATTTGCAACTGTGTTGTATACTCGGTTGTATATATCATCACTTCATAGTTTTTCTGTTTGTTTATGTAGAATTTTGTATTATGTTATCATAATTTTCGTAATGTTTTACTAGGAAAATGGTATTTTATTTATATGTTATTGTAAATTTTGGGAATCGCTAATTTTAGTAGGTAAACTTCAAATAATTTCTCAATTTTCACATAAAGCTAAGAAATATACTGTTCAAAGTGAAGAAGTTTGTAACTCATAATGTGTAAATCGAATTAAAATTTTGACGACTGTACGCTGGATTGAAGCACGTTTGTGCTTCACGTCAAGAAATTCCGAATAATATTTCGCAGCCGAGTGTCAGAGATAGCAGTATTCGTGATGGATCGAAACGATATGCGAATATCTTCGCGGAATGTTTCTACGCGATGGCAGGTTGTATTAGTTCCAGGTCAGTACCAGCTGGTGGACTGTAATTTTAAGACTAGTCATTTATGCGAGTGTCGTAATACGTAGTCGTAGGATCTAACGCGAAGTAAATTATACTACGCAAAGATGAAAATATAGCGGCTGAAGATGGCCGGCATGGAAGCATAACAAACGGCGATAGTACGAGCGGCGAATTGCGATAAAATATTTTGGACTTTCATGTCCTGCAATATATTTATCGTGGGTCGCAGCCGTGCCTGTAAGTAAGCAGAGCTTCATAATTTTTACTTAAAACAAATAGTAGTTATTTGCTGACGTTAAGGAGTAAAAGGTTTTCGTACTTTTAAGGAAAAAATATGAAATCTAGTCTCTTACGTAGATGAATACAATGTTACAGCATAGAGTGCATATACCATGTGTGGTATACATATTCTCAAAGAGATATTTGAGCTTTGCTAAAATTAGCGATTCTCAAAACTTAAAGCGACAACATTCGCAATATGATTTGCATAACTGCAATTTGTGTAATTGGAATTTCAATTATCTCAATCGCTATGCAGATTTGCCTATAATCCTTACAGTGATAGTGACCTCGATATTATACATCAATTTCACGCCAAACCCCTTTAATAGCGACATGCAATCTCCGCGCCCACAGCTCGTTGCAGCTACAAATAGATACCGATCCATCGTTAGATGTAAAAGAAGGAAGTTCGGAAAAGATGAAAATTCCTTGTTTCACTTTTCTTCTTTGATCGTTGACGGGAAAGGTGCTTAGAGAAGACGCAGAGAAAAAGAAACAGAAAGGAAATCTCGAGGGGAGGGGGGGGGTGGACAAGAACAAATAAAGAAAGAGGATTCTAGAATCGTGGCGAAAAGCTTTGGATTGGGTTTGGCTAGTTGACTACGTAGTCGTGCATCGTTTTTCCTGCATTATGGATTGCGTCAGGGGATAATCGTGCTAGTATTTACGAGGCTTTTCAACACAAAGGGGTTACATCTTGAGTTCTACTTCTCTATTCTGTTTATCCACAACGAGAAGCATT